TCTCATGATTCTCTGAGCGACTCCACGAACAGGCGCTGTTGGCTCGGGGGAAGCAGCTGCATTGCTACGCGCGCGTTCTCGCTCGCGTTGTTGAGCCTTCCGTCGCTCTTGTGCCTGGCGATCGAATCGCAACCAAGAAGCAGGCAAAACTCCCTTGATCTTTCGGCCCACATGACGCATGTCATCGTCGCTCTTCTCTGCCTCACTAGCAGAGCCTGCAGCCGAAGATGAGCTGTCCGTTATCACTACCCTTGTTGGCCGACGCAGTTCTCCACCGGATCTTTGTATGCTGCGCGGGGCTGGCTCGGAGTCTGAGCCCTGGAGCATCTGAGGGTCTTCTTGCATGACAGACGAGGTAGAAGGCGTTGGCAAGTTTGGAGCAGGGGTTGATACACGCAGCATAGCTGGACGGCGAGCTGACGTGGTTCCATGTAATGGCGGACTGCTCGAGTATGGAGGCGAGTTCGGAGGTATGGACCAAATATCGCGTCGCATATCACTGTCTTCAAAAATGCTTGTCGGTGCCGCCGCTGCTTGTGTGGATGAGAAATTAGGCTTCCTACGCTTGGCTGCATGAGGGTGACGGAGCTGTGTAGACGGAGGACGTCTGGCGGGACCAGAAGTAGGCCGATGAACGAGATCCTTTCTTGGACGTGGCAGCACAGGTGTAGAGACAGGTATCTCGACCTCGGGAGGGCTGCTTGTAGGGCTTTGATCGGGATTGAACTCCTGTTCTTGCGACTCATCGTTTGGCTGTCTGTGATGACCCTGAGGGGATCGTGAACGTTCTCTTCGCACCGGCTTGAGGCCTCTGCTCTGGACTTCTCTCCGATACATCTCACCCTCCAACGCATATGGGTGCATTTGGATGGGCTTCCGTTGTCGAAATTCGCGTCTTGCCCTATCATCGGCGATTTGTCTTTGTAAAGCGGTTGCGGATGGTATGACAACTTGAACTGCCGTACGACGATGGGGCTCAGCGAAAGCAGGAGGGGGCGATTCCAGGTCCGAGGGCGGATCTGAGAGATCATCGTCGGAATCATCGGACAACGGCGCGATGCCGAACTCTCTGAGTATGCTTGAAGCATGTGTAGAGGTTTTAGGCTTCTCCGTGACTGCTGCTTGTATCGGAGTAGTCGAGTTATCGGAGAGGGGCACGAGATGGCCGTCATCGAGTTGAGGTATGGACACGGCAGAGCTTGGCTGGAGGATCGGAGATGCCAGGCGCTGTGACGACGGAGGTTGTACAGCCTGTCGGTTTCTAGGCGTAGGTGAGACTAGCAGCGGATCAGGGCTCTCGGTGGGCTCTCTTCTTATACTGCGCGTCGATTTGGGCGTGAAGGGAGATGGCGTAGGGCGTCTCGGCGAGCTGTGTTTGGTAGGCGTGGCGATGCCCGTCTCTTGCTTCTCTATCCCGTTGATGCCGTCGACAGCATGTTCCTTCCCTTCTTCGTCTTCACCAATCCTCTGCACCTCTTGCGTGGGTGCTTCATGCTGTCGGACCGGCACGAGGTCATCTTCGACGCGTTCGACGCGTCCACTCAGGCCAACACTCTGCCTGGAGCCCTGACTCTCAAGCTGAGACTCGTCTTCTTCCTCATCCGAGTCCTGGACAAAACCTTTCTGTCGCCATTTGGACATTTGGACGCGCCTGCATGTCGTTCCGCGGTTGGATGCAGGCGGGGTGAGGTTTTGGGTGATGGCTGAAGGCATGGCGCGTCGTCCCGTGCTCCGCTTAGCGCGTGCTGGCGACGGCGGCGGGCTCAACTTTTTGCCCGCGGGAGTGCTTTCGTCATACACGCCAAACTCAGCCGCCGTCACTTTCCAAGGTTAAGCAACGAACACACAAAATGGCGGGACGTATTCTTCCAGTCGCGTTGGCAACTATCGTCGGTGTGTCAATTGGTGTGGCTACGTTTGATGGAGAGTTCAAGAAACAGCGAATCGCACGGATGGAGGAGGAGTACAAACGGTATGCAGACTCCACAGGTACTTTCGTCGCTTTCACTAACATTCGTGTTAGGGAACTCGCCGCAGCAAATGCCTCCAGCACCCCGAATCCCATCCCCGTTGCATCGAGTGCTGTAGCACCCCCACCTTCCGCACAACTACAGGCTCAGAAAGAGGAAGCTGTCGCCTCCGCGCCTGCCGACAACTCGTGGTCAAACGTGCTTGGGCTCTGGGCATGGAAGAAGGACAACAAGACGGAAGCCGCGCCTGCGACTGCAACGAGTAGTGTGGAGAAGCCCAAAAGCAAGCCTTGAATGCTACCATAATGGATTTCATAGGTTCAGCCTGCGCTCGAGATCGTCCCATCGTCCCCGCCGCAGCGGGTCCAGACGCTTTAGCTCGTCTAGCCACGACCTCATATCCTTCGTTGTAAACGACCCGGTCCCAGCATCTACCTCCAGATGAGCCTCTGCAAGCCCGAGCAGCGCTTCGTATATCCACTTGCAATCCGCCTCGTCCTCCAATATCTCCCTGATGTACTCCATCTCGTGCGCGTAGTACTTTTGCCGCTCACCGTTGGTCAGGTCCTGGACGACAAGCGCATCCTGCGGACATGACGGAGACAATATGGAGAGGAGGTATTGGTGATAGAACCATATGGACTGGTCGAATGGGTCGGTGTTTATGGCTTCGCATATCAGGGCTAATTCCGAGTCGAGAAATACACGGCGCGCTTCAGCGTCTGCGTTGCGCTCGCGAAGGACCTTGGGGATAAGCTGGCTACGGTTGTGCCAAGCGGAGAAGTTGGAGAGATTGGTCTTGATCATCTTGGTCGTGTACTCGAATTCTGATTCTGACAGGCTCTTCTGTGCTGTCCCTGATGCGGAAACGTCATCGGATGCGGTCAGACGCTCAATCTGCGACACCACGAATCGTCTGTAGCCCCAGGCATGGAAGTTGCGACTGTCTGCGTGCAGCATCTTGTTTATGAGTTGTAACTCTCCTGACCAGAGCTTACGTGCTGCGTCCGCGCCCATCAGCGCTTCGCCTTCGCGCAACAGCCAGTTTCTGTGGTTCCATATCCAATAGCATTTGGGAAATTTTCGTAATAGTGCAAATGTGAGCTGCAGGTCGCCCTGTAGGAATTCGTCTGGTGATTGTTCGGGGGTGTCTGCGGTCACCAGAGTCATCAAGACACGTCTTCGGTGATTCCATATTGTGTAGTATTCGGGATTCTCGTTCAAGAGTTTCGTGACTAGGCCCAGGACTTCGATCGTATATTGCTTCTCGGCAACCTGAGAAGCGACTGTCAACTAGATCCAAAGGATGCTTCTCCTGGCTGCAATACCTTTGTGTTCACCAGATCCGCCAAATCTTTGTAGTCTGTGATCTGTTGCAGCTCCTTCTGCCGTGCTTCTTCTGAGCGGACGACCGGGCCAGACCCGCGCGATATACCGTGCTACACTTGTCAGCAAGGATCTTCCGAGCGATTGTAAAGTCAACTTACGCTTGCCATATGTTTCTGCGCTGTCTCGGAGGCTTCAGCGTTGCTTCCTCGAGTTGCAGCCTCGGCGGAATGTTGCCCCACTACACGCGTGGAGCCCCTGCCCCTCCGTCATCCCTCGCGGAAGGTTGCCGTTACCACTAGCCGCATCTGCCAACCCTATATATGCTCCAAACATCCTAAGAAACCTCAGCAGCCACTGCTATTACTAACCTAGCAGCAACAACACCGGGACATCAGGCAGCACCCGGTCTCCGGCCTCCTAGCTCCTCTCCTTCAGACAGCTTTACATGCGCTGAAGCTCACAGCTCAGTCCTCCAGTCCACTCATCTTGACACAAGCTGTTCCAACATGAGCGACACTGGCGACGAAGCATCTCCATCTCGGTCCGGCTATCTCACACCGCCGCTGTCTCCTACGAAGACTGTCAGTACCGAAGGCTGGGCATCACCTCGGACGCCGCAGTCTCCGCGCAAAAGTCGCAGCTGCCTCTTCTTCAGGGATATCGACAGCGGCTTTACCAGTCATTGCTCAACTCCATTGTCTTCTCCTAGGAAGTCCAAGTCCAAATTTCTCTCTCGTCTTGAAGCGCTGTCAACTCCAGACCTGAGTCCGACTAATCTTGTAATTGTGCCGATACCTTGCGACCTCAACCCGCTTCGAGATGGATCCTCTTCCAGCAAGCGAAGACGCAGCAATCGCAGTTCCTCGGACAGCGTAGTTGAAAGTGCAAGCCGCGTAGCATCTCCCTCATTGATTACAACAGATACAGTCACTACATTCGAAAGGCCTAATCTACCGCACTTACACTCCATTGCCATCTCCGCTGATGACAGTTCTCCGCCCACCAAGCTTCGCCGTCTTCCCTTGCGCTATGCCAGCTCTCCTCTCAGATCCAGTCAATGGCAAGCACGAGGTGGCCTACTAGCATCACCTCGTCAAACCCAAACAAGTACGCCAGATCGTTTTATCGCTTGCCGCCGACCACCCACTATTACACGAGAAAGCTTCGAGCTCAACAGCCCTGCGGAGCGTCGGAACAAGGAACAGAACACCAACCGCGGTACACGCACAGGTGCAGATGCTTTCAGCCGCCGACTGCGCAGGAGTGGCCGTATGAACGAGGAACTACGCGGCCTCCGGGAGGCACACTCTGTAGTTTCAGGCCGGGCAAATGCAAACAGGAGAAACGTCAACTTCAGACAAACCCCTCTACCTTTGGGTACTCGCCAGATCAGCGCTGGCGCTGTCTGGAATGTTGGTGGGCCTTCTGCTGTGAGTGACACAGTAGTAGCAGTCTCCACTGGCAGAGGTGGAATGCTTGGGAGTGGAACGAACGCGCCATTGTACAAATCTGCTTTTCTGAACCGAGCAGACCCCGATGCCGAACTTGAAGCTTACGAAAGACGTCTCGCACTAGCGCTCGACATCGACGCGACTGATCGCATCCTCCAACACTCATATTCTCCAGTGTCCTCGAGCTCACCACATAGTGGTCCTGCATCGCAGGCAAAACATGTCTGGCGAGACGGAGCTTGGATCAGAGATGGAGTCGTTTCGAGTTTGTTTCCATTTGCTATGGACTCCAAATGTGATGTCGCTGCTAATTTGAGATCAAAGGCCCTCGCCAAACACCACCGAAGCGAAGACCAGTGCCAATCTTACCCTTTCGATATGTTCTTCTGCTTACCAATGCTTCTCAATACTGACTCCGCTCACAGTTCTCGATGCCCCTAACCTCCGCGACGACTACTACTGTACTCTACTCGCATATTCCTACACCTCCAAGTGTCTGGCTGTAGGCCTAGGAAACTTTGTTCATCTCTGGTCTGAGAGAAACGGTGTCAACACACCAGACTCGCTGAACGCCGTGCCGCCAAACGGTCCCGCAGATGTTCAGCACGTCACATCCTTAGACTTTTCCTCTACAGCAGGGGGTCAAGCTATCCTTGCCGTGGGACGAGCCGATGGCCGCATCTTGCTATGGAGCCCACTGGATGCTGAGCCACGCTTCGATGCAACACAACCCAAGCCTGTATCTTGTGTATCCTGGAGACCGACTGTTGTGCAGCGCCCTTCTCTCCGAGATAGAGCAATGACTGTATCGACTGAAGAGTTGCTCATCGGGGACGAAGTCGGTCACATCTACTTTTACAGTGTGGAGTGGCCGTCAGAGACGCACAGTGAACTCTTCGGTTGGACTGGCGCCATGACCCTGCTGGCTCGACTTTCAATCCACAGCCAACAGATCTGTGGCCTAGCATGGTCATCCGATGGTGAGCTTTTCGCGAGTGGAGGAAACGACAACAACTGCAACCTGTTCGAAACGAAGAAAGTGCTTCGATCGAATCCAGCAAGCGAAAATACAGCAGCCATCTTGGACGTCCGCGAAGGCCCTCGTGGCGAATCCATCTACACCGTAACCAACCGTAGCAACAACGCCGTTCTACACCTCGCGCAATCAGCCGCAAAACACACATGGACACTCAATGCCGCCGTCAAGGCCATGGCCTTTTGCCCCTGGCAACGCGGGCTCCTAGCCGTCGGCAGCGGCTCAAACGACCGCTGCATCCACTTCTACCACACACGCTCCGGCACCTGTCTTGCCACTATCGACTGCGCAGCTCAAATCACTAGCCTCATCTGGTCCCAGACGCGCCGCGAGATCGCAGCAACATTCGGCTTCGCACAACCCGAACACCCCTACCGTGTCGCTGTCTTCGCCTGGCCCAGTTGCGAACAAGTCGTTGCCGTTCCGTGGTACGACGAGAATCGCGCGTTGTGTGCAGTTGCTTACCCAGGCGGTCCCACGAGCGGTCCGCAGACAGACGACGATCGTGGAGGAAGGGCGAGGGGTGAAGACTGGGTGTGGTCGCGGAGAGGTGTTGAGGAAGGTTGCATTGTTGTGGCCGCGAGTGATATGGCGATTCGATTTCATGAGATATGGAGTGATCGACGGGTTAGTATGGGCGCAGGCGGCTTGCTGGGCGGTGGCTCCATGGGCTTGTTAGGCGGGAGTGATATCCTTGAGGGGCCTTATGCTGGCGGTATTGAAAGGCAGGGCACGATTATCAGGTAGGTAAGGTAAGGTGAGTCTTCAGGAAATGAATGGGGATATAGGTTGAGATGAGCAGACTTATTCTTAGTCTGGGAATCAAAAGTTTTGGTTCTGAATTACAATCGAGGTCTGCTCCAGTCTGTTGCCATTGACCAGTCTTCGCTGCAACTTGTACTCTTCTTTTCATTCCGTCATCTCGAATTCCACGACCTCGGCTTATAGTACAAACCTTGCATCCGCATTGCCTTCCTTTTCGCCGTCTTAACGGGGTACGTGCTAATCTTCGGCAGTCCTACATCTCTAGGAGCCCTCTTCCATGGCTCTCTCTCCGCCAAAGCATCAAATTCCGGGTCCTTACTAAACATCGAAGTGTCCCCTTTTTCGCGGTTGCTCAGGATTTCTTCCAAGGCTTCTCTCCTCGTCCTTCTCTCGTCCTCCTCTTCTTGGCTCCTCTCCCATTCCTCCATGTCATCTCTCTCCGCCTCTCTCTTCTCCATCCTCTCCTTCTTTTCTTGGGCGTTCCTCTTCCATATCTCCATGTCTTCTCTGAACGGCCTTTTCTGCTCCTCGTCTTGCTTTTTCCTCATCCATTCCTCCATGTCTTCTTTCACCGACCTCTCCGTCTTCTGCTGCTCACCGCCATCACCTCTCTCTTCCTCTTCTTGGCTTCTCATCCATTCCTCCATGTCATATCTCACCGATCTCTCCGTCTTCTGTTGTTCATCGCCATCATCTTGGAGCGCCATGTTCCTTTCCACTCTCTTCCCCATATGTTCATCCATATCATCGGTATCCGTCCTCTCCGTTATCCCCCAACTCTCCACCCTCTTTCTTGCCTGCTCCGTAACGCGGGCGGAGATTGCCCTTTCCACATGCTCCCATCTCAACTTCCCGCCCGCTGTAACCTTCTGTGCACGAGTTCTACTTTTCTGAACCATAGATTTCTTCGCCTTCTCGCTAGCCTTCTCGGCTGACCGTCTTTGAATCAGGGAGTTGATTTGAATGTCACGGTGTGCTCTGAGGACAGCTTCGAGAAGGTTGGAGTTCTGTTCCGTGGTATCCATGATCTTTTCATCGTGCAGCAGCCCGGTGAGTTCGGAGTGTAGGCCTTGGATGGCGAGTGTGAGGGCATCTTCTTCTTTGGGTATTTCCCGTAGGTCACGACGCTTCCTATGCGGGTCGGGGAGGGGTCTGTAAACTAGGATCGGGACCTCGGGCTCCTCTTTCTGCTCGTTTTCTTCAATCTGCTCTAGAGTCGGTTGTTGGCTTATGATTTGGTCGGCATCAGCCGATTCTTGTTGCTTTGCACGTGCGACGTCTTCTTCGAAAAGGTGGGATGAATCTTTACCGCGGTTCTCCAGAACGAAAGCTAGCCCAAGAGAGTGTCGGCCGTTACTACCATAGGTGGTATTGGTTTCAGTAGTGTCTTCCCTCAGTTCCGTCTCCCCAAATTTGTCGGCCCAGAATACATTTCCTTCGAGCAGCCTCTTCGCGGTTCTGTATACCGTACCACTGGCGGGGATGAGTTTATTCCTTGCATCCATCGTGGCGTTGACCTGCAGTCGACCACTTGCGTGACCTATGGTGATGGCGCCCTCCATTAAAGGCTCCGGAGCAAGCATCTGTTCGACGACTGTTCCGGGGATGCGCGCCGCGACGGCTGTCGTCAGTGCAGCAGTCAAAGGAATAGCTCGATGAGGCTGTGTATCTGAGAGAAAACGTACGACAATGTCCATCTGTGATGCCTTGAGAGTCTTCCCTGACAGGACGGGGTGCGCAGATGATTGTGATACGATGCCGATCTTGGGAACGGTACGAGGGACCTCATCCTCTGTAGATGCAATACCCATGACAACGGCAGCGGCTTTGCGAATGCTTTCGAGCAAAGCAAGCTTTTCCTGAAGATTGTTGAAGTTGTCGGGTAGGATGGTGCCATCCACTCCGACATCGTCTGCTCGGACGAAGATCGCTGGGTTCGCGCCATCTATGCACGATACTCTGTAGCCCCCAATGTTGTCCACTCTCCTGCCAGTAGGTAGCACTCTGCCAGTTTTGCTACCGTATGGACGCTTGAAATCCAATCTGATCTTTGAGCCTTTTCCGGTAACGCCGTCAATGCTGTAGTCACCCGCGACGGCAGCTTGTCCTCCAATGACTTCGAAGGTAGAGTCGAGCAGCTTCCCAGTGTTGGTATTCCGTATCTTCACTGTGACCTCTCCGTCTCCCTGGGCGTATGTTCTTGATGGGAGAAGACCGGCGTTATAAGCATAAGGGCCAATTGCACTGCTCATATTTCCACAGTTGCCTGCGACGTCGACTTCATCGTCTTCAATGCCCAAGCCGACGAATGTGTAATCAATGTCTAGCTTTGGCTCCTCCCCAGTCGCTTTCGCCTCTTCCAGAGCCTCTGCATTCTGTACAGCCTGCGCACTTTTACGAGCTGCATCAATACCACCAAAGCCTGTTCGAAATCGAGTGGCTTTCTCGGGCAAAGCCACTCTCCTCCCGTAGGGTTCTACGAGACATATCTTACTGAGACTCGATATGCCCGCACCCATCCCATCAAGTTGCCGCCCATAGGGGTCACCACTCCCCATGATCTGGCGGAATATGGTCGGCCATCTCGCGCGCTCTTTAGGCAAAGCTTGCGGCTGTAGGATTACGCCTCGTGATGTACCCCCGCGGTAATAGGCCGCCTCAATGGGTTTCTGGACTGTCGCAGATGGCGGGACGACGTCATGTCGCGAGACAAACGAGCGTATACGCAAGGAGAAGACTGGCGAAGGACGCATCACGCATCATGGCATTGACTTGTCGAGATGCATGTCAGAGGCGAATGCGATCGCCGGATGGCAAATTGTTCGGAAAGGGTCCGCCTCGGAACGGAAAGAATTGGACCCTGATGGAAGCACAGGCATTCGTCACTCACAGCTCCGAATTTTTCTCGAACGTCTTCATCATCATCGCATCCATCTGAACTACACTATCGCCTTCGCATAAACCTTGCATCCTCTGCTTCATTCCACATTTCATACCACACAATGTTGCAAAGAACCATCCTCCGCGCCTCAAGACAGCAGGCTGCCCGCTCAATACGGCCTTTTGCGCCACTACGTCAACAATCACCCATCACACGAGCAGTAGCGACGCCCGCTATCCGGTGGTACTCAGAAGCTGCACCAGCAAAGGAGGGCGAGGCTACCGAGAAGAAGGACGATGCGCCCGCAGAGAACAATGAGGCAACACAATTGAAGGAGCAGCTAGAGAAGAAGGACAAGGAAATCGTCGACTTGAAGGTACGCTCCGATGCTGCCCGAATGCAAGACGATACCAGACTGACATGGCTCCACAGGACAAGTACCTCCGCTCAGTCGCCGACTTCCGCAACCTCCAAGAGCGCACCCAGCGCGAAATCAAGGCCGCTAAAGACTTCGCCATCCAGCGCTTCGCCCGCGACCTCGTAGAGTCCGTCGACAACCTCGACCGCGCCCTTGGCACCGTGCCAGAAGAGAAGCTCAAGGGGGACAACACCGACCTCATTGCCCTGCACGACGGCATCAAGATGACCGACACCATCCTCATCAACACGCTGAAGAAGCACGGCTTGGAGCGATTCGACCCCAGCGAGGCCGCCGAGAAGTTCGACCCCAACATCCACGAGGCTGTCTTCCAGGCGCCGCAGCCTGACAAGGAGGACGGAACTTGCTTCCATACACAGCAGAAGGGCTTCAAGCTCAACGGCCGGACACTGCGACCGGCCAAGGTTGGCGTTGTAAAGAACGCATAAATCCGACATCATTAGAAGCAATATGAGCTTCATCCTACGCGAACCAGGACCTCTGTCGCTGCCGCCACGATCTTCTTCGCATGTGTATGACTACTTCGGGTCGGCTCCATTGTATGGTTGGCTGCTTTGATCTGGCACGGTACATTGGGGGCATGGCGTTTTCGTGTCAATTCACGAGGTACATTTGTGTACATATATTCCCCTCTCAGACGCATCTTGGAAAAGTTGAAGCAAGCATGATGACGAAATGGCTTTGCGTATATTGTAATATTAGATATGACGAACCATGAGCAAAAGAAGGCAGCTCAAAGAGCTAGCAGAGATATCAATGCCATTCGCATCAACTCATTTTCGATAGCGATTCGCAAAGTGTACTTAGTTTTGTGATAGATGCCAATGTGTGAAGAAGGACTGCGTTTCTTTTGAGCAGCCTTGCAGTCTGTTGACGCCCACACCTTTTAGAACGCCAGGCCCATGCAATGTTGTACACCCAAACACGCCACTCTCTTCGTCTACCAATTGGACTGCCCGTAAGGCGTAGCTCCATATGGTGTGGTTCCTCCTTGTGCCGCACCGCCCCACGAGCTCGCTCCTCCGTATCCGCCTCCCCCAACAGGAGTATATCCGCCCGCATCACCATATCCAGCACCGTTCAGTGTTGGACTCTGCGCACCGCCAAAGTCCTCTGGGCCTCCAACGCCACCAGACAATTCTTTGATGATCTCGGCGAGTTTGCGTTGTAGGATGGCGATGCCTTGTGTAACGATTTCGTCGGGTTCGAGACCACCGACTGTTTCGACATCGTAGAAGAAGCGTGTTGGGGCAGCGTCGTAGTTGAAGGGCTCGTCGGGGTTGGGAGGTCCGCCGTCGAGGTTTATGCGGGCTTCGTCCTTGGGCCTGGATATCTGTTAGAGACGTGCTGTTACACAATGTTTGGATGGTTTAGATAACATACCACTCCTTGTCCGCGTCCTCCTCGTGCCAGTAGTCCAAGTGATGCAGCTTATTCGCCGGATCGTACTCGAAGCCGATGGCTGCACTAGGCGCCCATTTCGCGTGTTCCTTTGCAATACCCTTCTTCGCAATGCACTTCATGTTGATCGCCTGGCCTCTCCTCAACTTGACAATGCAACTACCCGTCTCTTCTGAATCAGTGATGACCGGCTTCCCCAACTCTTCGTTTGGCGCCCGAGATTCAATCACCAGATCCCGCGCGTACACCTTCATAATCTCGCTTCCTGTGCATTTCGCGTTGAGGGTGAGAACGACGGCGCAATTGTCGCAGTAGCCTTCGCAGTCGCAGTCGCGCGAGTACAGCAGCTCTTCTACGCCTTTGGAGCACAGAGGGATGAGGCCGAGACGGTGGCAGACGAACTCGTCAGCGAGGACGGATGTGTTGTCGAACACTTCTACGACGTCGATGGCTAGGGTGGGAATCTCGGCGAGCATCACACGGCGGAGCGAGTTTGCGGTTTCGAGATTGAAGTTCTGGACGATGAAGTTGGCGCGCTGGCTGTCGGCCTACGCATAGCTGGGTTAGCTCGACGTGTCCTGGGGCAGACGGAGCGGGCGGTGTACCTGGAGGAAGCGCACGTTGATTGCGCCGCCATCTGGGTCGTAGTCCATCGCGTCGTCGTTTCAGGGAGGAGAGGGCTGTGTGCTTGCGAGGCTCGTGATGGAGCCGAGGTACTAGGGCGACTGGATCCGGAGGCGGAAAGAGACGTGTTGACGTGTGGGGGGTGTGCTGGCTAGGGTCGTCGTCCTGATGGAGATTCTTTGAGGTGAGTCTGGCGAAGCAGCCTAGCGTCTAGGTGTGGCGCATGCATCTACGCCACACCTAGATTCAGCCACACCATTGACAGTGGCATCGTCATACGGGTCAGCAGCTGGCGAGATTACGCCGAGTGTAGAATTGCATGCAGGGTCACGTAGACCAAGATTAATGGTTGGATGACGTCTGACTTCTATGCTTAAGAGTTACTAGGGAAACCGTAGATTTCGTAAAGGCGGAGTCGTCATAGCATCACCTGCAGCTACCGTCTCGTGCGTTGATTGTACACACCAAACAGGAGACATGTACAACGGTTGTGCGCATCAAGACTTGTGGATGCGCCCGGCGTACGCGGAGCTCGAGACAGTCACGAGACAAGCATGGCCTTTGATCAGCCTTGCAGTTGAACACATGAGACATTTTCCATGGGCCAAGCCTGACTTGAGCATCACAACAAAATCCAAACATGAAGGGTACTATTGGCCGACAAAGAACCTCAAGCGCAAAGCGCCTATGGCTGTGTTGCGAAATGAGCCGACCGAGTTGAACAGTTGTCCTTGCCGTATCGCATGCCTATGGCAGACGGACAATAAACGAGTCTGCCGCCGAGTGATGACCTATTACATGCCCAGTCGGACGAGATAAGGCCTTGATGGTATTGCATGCATGCTGTGTAGTCCTAACATGGATAAGCCGGACACTAACAGTGGACTCGGTGCTTGAATAGTCAGTAAAGGATGTTCTGTGGAACCAGCGAGACACTGGTAGATGTTTCTTTCGTGGACATGAGGCTGAGTGGCAGGCGACTATGCATCAGCGAGGCTGAGGCCCTCTCCTTTCTCTGCGTCTCGTGCTATCGTCAGTTGAATCCATCATTGACGCGTCCGCCGAGGTCCGGAGACCTCCAGCAGCACAGTGCGTTGGGGAGCAATAGGGCGGGGCAGTGCAATGGTGCCCAGGAAATGGCGCGAAAGAAGCAGAGACATGGGACATGGACGCGGGAAATGGCATGGCCGGAGTCTGGCCTTGGCGGATTGAGGCGGAGCAACGGTCGCTGCTTGCATGCGGGCGCTGCAACGACCAACCGCTGAAGGCGAACTTTGATATAAGACACGCGCTGTCGGTCTCTTGCCCTCCAACTCATCACAGCAACTCAACCAACAGACCACAGTATATCTTTGCGCAACATAAATGATCGCAAACATGCAGGCTACTCTACCTCCATCACCAATGCGCTCCCGCGCGTCATCGGGGAGCAAGTCGCCACTTTCTCTCGACCTTTCAGACCTCCCACCGCTCGTCGAGCCATCACCTCCTTCAAACACTCTCATCATAACCGTGAGTATTCTTCGCCTTAAAACTAAGAGCACAAACTAACAACGTTCAGAATCTTCTCGCACCCGAGATCTTCTCACTATCCACCCTCACCGAGATCCGCGAAACCGTCGACAAATATGCGAAAGTACACACATGGGCGCCGCTCAAGTCTTTCCGGCGCATCGTAGTATCCTTCTTCGACGTCAACTCTGCGATCCAGGTCCGACAAGCCCTTGATGGCGAACAACTCATGGGCTACCGCATCCGCGTATACTTCGGCGTAAACACACCCATGAACCCCTCAGACCAGCACCTCGCCCTCCCAAAGTCCGACCGACTATTCTTCATTTCGCCGCCGCCCTCTCCACCCATGGGCTGGGAAATGAAGGAAGAGGATGCGCCAAACAAGATTGTACACCCAGAAGACCTTGCGGCAGCGCTGGCCCGGTTACATGCAAACCACGAGGCGACATCGCCTACGACTGATCACGGCGGCCCATCCATCACAAGAAGGCGAACTGGCAGCACCACTGTTGTCTACCATCCCGAAGACCACGGTGATTCGCCGAACCTTCCAGCCATATCCGTCGAAGACACAACAGAGACACCTGAGCCGTTGACACCCATCGATGCGATGGAGGGCGTCGAGGGCCCGATCGCATCGCAGAAGGCGCAGGGCATAGCAGTGAGCACATCAAGGCCTCCGGTCGAGCTCATGCACTAGACGGTTGTGCAGATTTCACCTCATTTCTTTCCTTCTGTTTTCAAAAAGCATCATCTGCTCAAATGACATTGCGAGTGCATGGTTCCGGCGTTAGTGGTTTTCCTCTTGGGATGACTCGATTTCGACTTAGGAATGATAGCATGTGTTTTAAGGACAGTGGTGATACCTTTGGTAGGACTCTGGTTGCAATGAGTCTAATGGGTATGGCATAGTATGATATCCCGTTCGAATAGCGCAAATACGTTGAAGTACAACTCTACTCCGCCTGCTCCAGTCTGTTTCGTGAACATGTGTATGCAGTGTCAGTCTGAATTGCGAAGCCAGAGCCCACCCGGCATTGCGACGCCAGAACTATGGCAATGCAATGCAAGTGTTGATCAAGTACTCCATGTCTCTACCTCTTCACTACGAACTGCTTGTCTACCCGCGCAGAGCTCCGTATGAGGCATTGTACTGCAAATTCCAACCTCACATAACGAGAGTTTCTGATTATAGAAGCACAAGGATGTGAAAACGTCCACATCCGGTGGGGCGCATCATGTTGTTGGTCGCAGTTGCCCGCGGGCCGTACCTGAAAGTCGCGCTAGCACGTGATGATCTCCATTCCGATTAGCGCGCACTACGAAGCGAAGGCCCATTTCGATAATTCTAATTTCGCAGGCCACGACCCCGACAACACCACGACAATCTACTAACGTTGCAGCTTCCACACGCCGTCGAGACGCCGCAGTCAAGATGAAGCTCAACATCTCATACCCCAACAATGGCACCCAGAAGCTGATCGAGGTCGACGATGAGCGCAAGCTCCGCGTCTTCATGGAGCGCCGCATGGGTCAGGAAGTCCCCGCCGACAGCATCGGCGACGAGTTCAAGGGATACATCGTCAAGATCACCGGCGGTAACGACAAGCAAGGTTTCCCGATGAAGCAGGGTGTCATGCACCCAACCCGTGTCCGCCTCCTGCTCTCCGACGGCCACTCCTGCTACCGCCCTCGCCGCACTGGTGAGCGCAAGAGGAAGTCCGTCCGCGGATGCATCGTCGGCATGGACCTCTCCGTCCTTGCCCTCAGCATCGTCAAGAAGGGCGACGAGGACATTCCCGGCCTGACCGACATTGTCCACCCCAAGCGCCTCGGTCCCAAGCGCGCCACCAAGATCCGCCGCTTCTTCGGTCTCAGCAAGGAAGATGATGTGAGTTTTCTCATAGCTTCTTCGCCAATCCTGCTTCGCATAGCGGATTGAGTCTCGCTCATCCTGCTACAAGCAGCGCATTGAGTCTGAGCAACAAGAAGTGAGCTAGAAAGTTTGAAGGTTTGAGTACTAATCATTGCGTGTGTAGGTCCGCAAGTTCGTCATTCGCCGTGAAGTCGTCCCCAAGAAGGAGGGCGCAAAGCCCTACACCAAGGCCCCCAAGATCCAGCGTCTTGTTACTCCTCAGCGTCTCCAGCACAAGCGCCACAGGCTCGCACTCAAGCGCCGTCGCGCGGAGGCTTCCAAGGATGCTGCCGTATGTTCACACCATCCACTACAAGACACACATAGGCTAATAATACTGCAGAACGAGTACGCTCAGATCCTTTCCAAGCGCATCAACGACGCCAAGGCCGCACACGAGGAGGCCCGCAAGAGGAGGGCGTCTTCCATGAAGCACTAGAGCGTTATCATGAGTTCATGATTGGGTCGTGGAATGATTACATTGGCGTCGGCACGAAAATAACGGTGTGGGCTCCTGTATCTGAATGAAAACTTCGGGCATTCAAGGGAATAGGCGCTTCTCATACCACTGACTGCTTAAGGCAGTTGTCTCAATAAACAATTGCATCACTTCACGACCGCTCCACAACCTTCGTATCCGACATGTCTCTTGCTGGTACACTTTCATACACTTCGCATCTGTCGACTGACAAACGTATCTCGTCGACCTACCTGACCTTGCTGATCATGGGAACTCCATTTTCAACGTTGCCTCATCGCGCGTACTTCCTGCAACCCTTCCAGCTCATGGTATGCCAAGCCCTTGCTTGAGCCTTTGCATGCTCACCGGATATCGTGCACGCCATATGTCTATCCTTTTGTATCTTGCATACACCCTCCTCGATATACGAAGCGCTTGACTATGGTGAAGTTTATCCATCGAAGACGTTCTAGCTCTGAACAAACAATGAAGCCTATTTGTCCTAGCAATCCCGGCCCAACGCATGTGTACATATATTCAGCCTCCTCCTACCAACACTCACCCCTTCGCCAAGATAACCTTCTTGAATTCATCCAAGATGATCATGGCCTCCCAGTCGATGCATCACGGCGTCGAGCATAGATGGGCTTCCATCCACATCCTCGGTCCGCGACACTCAGGCCTCGAAGAAATATGCGACGACCTGCTTGATTCAGACAAAATCGAGCATCTGACACGCACGTACATCAAGGATACCTGCCAGCATTTCCAGACATCAGACAGTAAAGAAAAGTTTGATGACATCTCTTCTGGCAACCCGGTGTACAGTAAGTACCTAGACAACGACAGGCTTCGAATTCCTGACCAAGGACTTGTCGTCCTGGTAAAGAGAGACCTAGTTAGCGCTATGGAGAGATGGGCGACTAAATATGGGGAGCTCAAGACGGATGACCAGAGGAATAACACTGGTGAGAAACAAACCATTGGATCTTTTCTCAAAAGCGTTACATCGAAGGTAAACAGCATCTTGAAGAAGCTGCTGCAGTCAGAACAAGCTCGGATACAAAAGGCGAGAGGAAAAGCTTGGGCGACATATCTTGAAGAACGGAAGACGGCTGAGAGGACTTTTGCGGAGATGGGGACGCAGCTAGATACGCTATCATTGGAAGTTGATGGAAATGATGCGGTCGCGGCCGTTGAGAAGATCTGCGACAAATGGAAGACGATGCAGAATGAGTATGGGGATGCTTGATTGTACTTCGACCGGGGAGTGATTGGGGTTAGAGAACGAGGTATTGAAGCAGATGGACTTCATCATCGTGAATTGTTTACTGGCAATAGCAGTCTTCCTATATCTACAACGTTGTGTTGTTTCCCGAGAAGCAGGCAGAGTGTTGCATCTTTTGCAACGGATGAATTCTTCAAATCACCCAACGTCCATGCTACAAACTCTGGTCAATCTAGGTGAATACAAAGCTTGTAGTGGCAAGCTGATAGATGGCGCTGACGCACGGTCAAGTCGGGTTTGGCATGTCTAGATTGCTTGAAGGTATAACAGCGTATCAACAAGCATTGGTACTGGGATGTGTACTTTTTGATATTTTCTAAGGTATATGCACATCGGTCGTATGTATGTACAAAGCCGACCGACGCATCCAAGCCTAGTCTATGATGTTGCGCCGCGCAATGCTGTCAGCGCCAAACGCCCGCCCGTGTGGTATCATTCGCCTCGTCGCATACCCAATATTGCACAAAGCAGATGCGCGTCTTTCTCATTCCCCTTTTATCTATTCCAGCTTTTTCAATTGCCTGTAGACCTTCTTGTGTTGCTCCAAAAACAAGAACGTGAGCACGGTGTGCGGGCCAACGCGAATGAAGCTCGGCACCCAGCCCTTGAACATCCAGCGGAACCCTTCTGCTCTCATAGTATCCGTGACGGTCTTCACTAGTCCTACACTCTCACTAGAGCTCATGACTTTAGTTTTGATGACATCTACCGGTGAGCATATCGTTGTAGCTACAAATCCAGCCAAGAATGATGCTGAGAAATGTGTTGCGAGATTGTCTTGCAGCGGCGTGTAGTTCAGCAGCACGCGCTTGAATCCGTCGTATGTTGCCAACTGTCCAACTGTCATGAGCACAGCTCTTGACGAGTTGGGCCAGACGCCTTTCCATAGACTTGCTACTCCTTCTTCCCGCGACATTCGTATTATCCCATCAATCGCGTTCTTGTATCCTCTCCGCTTTTCTTTCGGTAATGCGGCATCGTGCTGCATCCGTACGTTCAAGATGTCTCCTGGGTTACCGGCGAATCCTCCGAGGAATCCTGATATGGAAGCCATGCCTACGAGCGTGAGGAACGAGGGTTTCGTGTCGGCGGTCGTCATGCGGTCTTTGAGGGCTTCGTAGACACCGAAGCGTGTCATGCTGTATGTCCCTTGGCGGAGCTGGGCTGCGGAAATCTATCGTCGCATTAGACGGGTCCATTGGAATTGAACAGATAAGACGACTTACGCCCTTGTACAGCCCCAATGCGCCATCAGTCTTAATAACATGCTTAAACATTTGCATCATGTTCAACTTTACGCCAGATATCGTTTGTGTTTGTAATCGGACCTGAATTCATGAGTATACATAAATTGGCGCACGCGACAGTCGAGAAAGCTACCTTGACTACTCAAACTATCAGCCACTGTCCAATGCTGCGCACAAAGCGGTACAAAGCTTACCAAGATCCAGAGGATGTGTAAAGAAAGTCGCAAAACAACTTGCGCTTCCACCAAACCAGAACGGATAGCGTATGGGCGTCTTCTTGAGAGGCTTTACATCTTCGCTCTTCCGTAGCTCAGGCACGCTTACGGGCTTCTTGACGTCCGCCATGTTGAAGGTGAAGGACCGCGCAGCAACAGCATGTGTAGCTGGCAGGGACACAGGGAAGCTGTAGCCTTAAAAGTAAGGAAGCCTGCAAAGCTTCGGTGGTAGTTGAGGGACCGAGAATTCGGCACGCGGACGTCATCGGCAAAACGTGCTGCTTCCGGATTTAAGCTCGGAGCTGGCGGGCTGGGCTTGGCGGCGCGCGTGGTTTTGAGGTCGCGAAGATAACGGCGAATCTCATCATCAAAGATGCGAATACCACTTTCTTCCACGGCAACTTGCCGTCAATTAGGTCGAAATGCCCTATTGCGAGTACCACGGAGCGCAGTGTCGCCCTGGTCGTGGCGGCAAGCGGTGAGATATAATTCTTCTGGTGAGTTTGCTGTCATGTGACGCGGCTCACGGCTTCCCATATTGATGCAGTTGTACTACTCCGGCGTTGAGCGAGACTCGGAAGATGCAGATGAGAAATATTTCTGCATTCTACTATCGTGTTTCTGGTGTTGAGCAGCAACCTCGTGTACTTGCAGATATGCAGAAGTTTCAGAGTGTGGCATCTAAGTTCTTATAGGAGCGCTCCCGAAAGAAGTCAAAATAGAAGGACGAACGTATCAAACCGATGAATGGATGAACACACCCTCAACCATCCTCGCCGCTATCCCAAGACGCCTTCATCTGCAACCAGATCACCCTCTGGCTATCACACGAAAACTTATCGAATCACGGTTTCCAGGTTACAAAACCCATAACGACCTATTCCCTATCGTCACCACCGGCCAAAATTTCGATTCTCTCGGCTTCCCAATAGATCACATAGGTCGAAGTAGGACGGACACGTACTACATAAATAAGGAAACCGTACTACGAACACACACCTCCGCTCACCAAGCCGACACTTTCCGCAACAATGAGAGCGAGGGCTATCTCATCAGTGCTGACGTATACCGACGAGATGCCATCGACAGAAGCCATTATCCTGTTTTCCATCAGATGGAGGGAGCCAGAACTTGGGACCGTCAGCAAGCAGAGAAAGAAGGCAAGACGCTTGCGCAGGTCATCTGGGATGATGTGGAGAAGATTCCCAAGCACGATGTTGCAGTCGAAGACCCAAACCCTCCATTCCACGCCGATCGTAACCCACTTCAGACAGGACATTCGGCAGAAGAAGCAGAAGCCATGGCTGCACACCTGAAACGAAGTCTAGAGGATATGGTGGTCACGATCTTTAATGCTGCAAAGGGTGCTGCAGATACTGCCACGTCAGACGAGCCACTAAAGGTACGCTGGGTGGAGGCCTACTTCCCCTTCACATCACCCTCTTGGGAATTGGAAGTCTTTTGGCAAGGCGACTGGCTCGAAGTGCTCGGCTGCGGCATCGTGTCACAACCCATCCTGAACAATGCCTCGGTTCCCAATCGTGTAGGGTGGGCTTTTGGCATAGGTCTCGAACGCATAGCCATGTTGCTCTACTCCATCCCGGACATACGTCTGTTTTGGTCAAAGGACTCTCGCTTCTTATCGCAGTTCAGCGAGCAGAAAGCCATTCGTCGGTTCGAGCCTTTTAGCAAACACCCTGCATGTTTCAAGGACGTGAGTTTCTGGTTGAAGAGTAGCTCGAATGCTGCTGGTGGCGCCGCTGCTATTCATCCGCCTGCAGGAGGCGTGATTAACAGTTCATCCACCCCATCCTCTG